AGTAGATATTTTTTTTAGTCTGTAAGGCAGCTTCCGCTGCCTATTGCCTTGGGCAAGCCACACAAATAGGGCTATTCCCAAGGCACTGCATAACATACGTGGACGACATTTTTGTCTTTGATGGGGATATTCACGGACATAACATCAATTTAATATTTGTAGCAGATCGTCGCTGAGAGGCAGATTTAATCCAAAGCATAAAGAAATACCGATTTCTGCAACTCTTAGTCAAATCCTTGGAACATCCTTTCTGGTCAGAAGAGACTGCTGTTTCCAAAGACCGCACAAAGCAAGCTAGGTTGTGATTAACACTGTCAAATCAGGTACAACTCCGTAGGAATCCAGGCTTTCAGGTTAACACACCGGTTTGGATTAAGGCCTTGCCGAGATAACAAGCCCTCCCCATGCACTGACGGAAAAACAGGAAGAAGAATTTTAACTGGAAGAAAAGGTATAATGAAGTATGTATAGACCTGAAGTGAATGCACTTCTCTACAGTTTTCAGCATTACTAAATTCGAACAAATGCTCTATTAATTTTACTGGATACTGACAATGGTGATGTAGACTTGAGCGGTACAATGTTTGTAAAAACCACATTATTTTCTACTCAAGTTCCAAATTCAACGGGCCAAAGAGACAGAAATGTGGAAACAAATTCGAATCATTTAACTTCATCACAATGTTTAAACATTCCAGACATCACACGATAGAGAGGAGCTTCATAGTGGGAATGAATCATCACCAACACGAGCTGACATGGCTTAAAATAAAGCAATGCTGCGTTCGCACCACTCCGATCCATACCTCCAGGTTCCTAGGGAGAGGGGGTGGGGATGGGTACTTTAAAGGACATCGGAAGGAGAAAATCGTATGTATCCTATTATGGTAGTCTACTTCAGGATAAGAGAAAACTCTAAATTGACTGACTTAGTTATCTTCAATTGCTGAATTTGTTAACGCGGAATGCTCAAAGCGATGCATGGCACTTAAAGCCGAAATTTCAAAAGCTATAACTTTACCAGACTATATAAGACCCACAAGATTTCCAAGAAACGCACCATATCTGCAT